GAGGATGTGCATTTACCTTGGTGACGGAGACTTTCTCTATCCCTCATAACGAAAGGGTGGAGAATGACGTCTGCATTTATCTCCAGCTTATTCCCGTGTTTCACAGACAAACTATTAACAACTGAAACGACACCGACATGAAACATCTGTAACAGCTTCTTATTGTGTATATGCGTCGGAAATGCCGCTACGGTTTTCCTTATATGCGGGACAGTAACTCATCCCGTCTTCCCTGTAACAAATATGTTTTAGACCAGAGTTCCACCATCTAGTCTTTGAAGCAATTGATAGTCAACTATGTAATGCTTTGTTTATATGACCACATGACGCTTGGCGGTCACTTTAGAATTTGGTTGGTCCCTGTACACTTGGGCTGGCCTTCGAGCCACGTTCAGGCTCCATTTACCCTATTGTCTTACGAATACGTATAATCACCCTCACTTATGCCTTCTACCACCCTATGGGAAGCCTCGGAACGCTACAAACAGGTGTATGAGGCCCCAAATCTGGTTGTCAGGTCGAACGTAACTCCAGATGCAGTTGAAGCTACCGAGGAAACCAGGTACGGTTCCTCTATCGACTGGCGCGGCTGAATCCTGGGTGCCTTCTTGTAGCACCGAATATGTTGTGATGGCTGGCCCGGAAGGTGTACCAAGGAGTCGCTGAGGACGTCGCTCCAAAGAAGAGGAGCATTGTAATGCTTTGGTTATGTGACTCTTTGATGTTTAGCGGACACTTTAGGATTTGTCTGGCTCTTGTAGATGTGGGCCACGCTAAGAGCAGCTGCTTTGTCCTCTTTAAAATACTTGTATCCAGCCTCACTTACCGCCCTCTTCCGCCCCTTGAAAAGTCTTGCGACGCTACAAAGAGAAAAGGATTTGGCTTATTGTAGTCCTCGGCATCTATATGCGGTTGTGATATAGGAAACCTCGATATAATTTTCAAGATGGTTTACGACACTGCCAGTATCCAAATACGGCAGCGATTCTCAAATGTTTTGTCGTAAAGAATTTAGAGAATTCCAAGTTCGAAGTATTTTACCTTCCTTCGCAATGTATATTTCCTAAATTGCAAACATCAGAGTATAAGTTTTACATAGGCGAGTTTGTGCTATGTTGCTATTTAAGCAACACTTCGAGTCTATTAACTACATAAAAATAAAGAAACAGCTTGTGTTGACTAAATGTATTCAGGCAGAATAAAGGAAGGACCAAGTACTACAATTGAATGCGTGG